GGTATCATTATCGGCATTTAAAGGCAATCGCCAATAAGACAATTATTTAACAATAAATAAGATAGAATTTCAGCAGAAATGCAGAGTACTGCTTTGCTCCTCAGCACTTTCTCCCTCAGTGTTTCCTCTTCTCCCTCTGTTAGATCAATAGTTCAGCAATTTTTGAGTAGGGCAGCACGGTGGCTGAGTGGTTATCATGTTTGCATGTTCTCCCCATGTCTGTTCTGGTTTCCTCTGGGTTTTGGGATTTCCCCTTCCCTACAAACATGCGCAATAGGCAAATCCTTCAGCTCTGGTCTTGACCAAACAGAAAATCATCATGTCTTTTACTGTTAATGTTAATTGCTAATCTACAAGATAATCAAATGTATTGTTTGTTTGATCCAGTTGGTGGCTTAGTTAGGGCATAACATCAAATTCTGTGAAATCAAGGCTGATCATCAATGCCTAGGCCAATTTATTCAGCAAACCAATAGAACGGTAACCCAAATTGCCACTATGCCTACAAAAATGTTCCACTTAACACTAGGACCGCCGTGCTCTAAACATACCTTGCACCGCCCCCTGCGGTCAGTTGACCGCTATGTATTTTGCGCTGATACAGCCTTTTGCCAAATTGATTGTTCACTAAACCAGAACTTGATGTTGCAAAGGAATCGTGATCATAATGAAACTGTGTAAATTATTTGTCTAAATATGCTAAGTAATTGTAATTCTAGCCGAAATAAAAGACTAAGACGACACATTGTGCGTGTACTGATCCATCAAAATTACGATGACTTTTCTGGCTAGATTTATTTTTGTAACTTTGCAAACACCTAAAAGGTTGGTCACTATATGTTATATTTGACTCAGTAACAATATGTAAATTCAAACAATATAAATTATAGTTTAGAAAAGCACGGGACCATAACGTCTTCGCGCTGCTATATGCGTCTACTTCTTACGTCATCTCCAGACTGTTTTCTCTTTAGAGGCCGAAATCACCGTGGGAAATATTATCTAGATAATAATAATAGTATTCGTATTGACACAAGATCATCAGCTATGGCTACCATCGTCAATTTAAAATCTTCAATTTTACACGGGACACGTTAGAAAGACAAATATATGCATATATATATTTGTATTTATTTGAGACAAGCAGTGCTCTTTATGCTCAGAACAAAATTATAATCATTGCCTTGCAGTGCGCGCTGTGCAGAATAACACACAGTGTTATCTGGATGAAATCAGAATTATATCCTTATTGATATATGAGGGCCGCCTCTGCCACAGTCGCTCTCCTCCTGCAGTGTCCGCGGGTGACGAGCACTCTGATCTGCACTCTGCCTTGATAGTTCATCTAATTGTTCTATTTTATTGCGATATTGTATTCTGCTTTATTGCCTTCTTGTATGTATAAATATAATAATGTAATTGATGATGAATGAAAAGGCAGAATGGAGCGACAGCGCGCACACAGACACTGCGTATGGCTGGCATTACGAGGGTCATGTGAGTTATTGCTTCTGGACTTGTTACAACACTGCTGTCTGTGCCGTGAATGCACTATGGGTTTACGTTCAGATTTAGAATATTATAGGTGTTCTCCCCGCTGTCACTTTCTACCTCAAAATGTGACATCTCACCTCCGTCAGACTGTTCTCATTCAATGTTTTGAAGCACTGTCAGGGCTTCATACCGTGTACTTGCAGCTCTATTCATTTTGTACTCCTCTCTCTCCCAAATAATAATAAAAAAGTCCCTTTAGAGTCTAATGACAACATATTGATACATTTTTATAAGGCGCGAAAAACCCCCGGGAAAGGTTACTATGACAACAGGCGCCCCTGCGCCATGTATCTCCATGGGGAAGCAGAAAGGGCTGTGGTTTAGAAAAGTTAAAAATGCGTGTAAATCTTGTTTTCTTTACTTTTTCCAAAACCAAAACACACCAAAATATAAACAACAAGTACCCAGTAAAAGTCATAAAATTTCAACTTCTGGCGTTTTGTTTTGAATACACTAATTAGCATAATAAAGTGAGTGACGGTCAGTTGACCGCTAGGGGCGCTCCTAGTGTTAATGCATTTGGAAATGTTGGCATCTTCAGATATTGCACCTTTAATACCTGGCCTCCCAGATGGTAGTTCTGAACAAAGCACAACGCTGTGATTGTACCATTGCTACCCTTCATTTTCCAAGTGTCCCACCTCCCCACACCTCCCTTAGAGTGGCTTGACACTTGAACCGCAGGTGATCAACTATTCTTCCAATCTTTTGTCGGACAGCCTGTCTGACAGACTTTCTCCCGTTTTGCCTTTCACCTTGCCATTATCTGTCGGAGACTTTCTATCTGCGACGCAGGGAGGTTTTATCTGGCAAAGTACACCAGCGAGCAGTAATATCTCCGGAGACAGCCTGCCGACCCGATAGGTATCACTCCACAAACAGGCTGGATATCTCACAGGACACCACACTACCACCATATGCTTGTACTCACACTACTTCTCTGTTCTCTCTTTATATAATCTTCTACATATTATCTGCCTCGTTTAATTTCAATATGTTTTTTTGCGCTAAGGGAAGAAGTGTTATCATAAGATGGCAAAATATTAGATTCAATGTCTATGATAATGCAATAATGAGGAGAGAATGAAGAGTCTTGGTCAAGGACACCTATTCAGTCCCTGTTGGGAGTAAATCAACTCTGGTGTAACAGGCCAAGTATTTCCCACAACGGGCTAATCAGGAGTTTGGGCTTCTTGCTATATGCAACATTGTGCAAGGACTTTTTCATTATTCAGAAATAATATTTTATTTTCATTTTTGTTTGCCTTTGGGATCACCTGAGTTGGCCCTTATTATCGTGGACTGTACTGTACCTTTTGCAGTCACATAGCAAATCACATTGTGTTACTTCAATTAAATTAATTTCAAGTATGTTCACTTTTCTATAGCCCTTACTCTCAACAGCAGTTGTCTCGGAGGACTTAACAACATTGTTGACTTGCCAACAACAGAGAAGAGTATTCAAAAACGTTTTGAAGACAGGAAATGCAATAATAACAAACACAAAGGAACCATTTGTCCAAAGGGTTGCTGGATGACCAATGTCCGTAAATGTTAATATTTGTACATAAACGCTCCTAAAATTCCTTAAAGGAATAGGCCACCGTTTTTACATACTGACATATGTTCTTACCTTACCTTAGACTAGTTGATATGTACCTGTGTGATCTTTGTCCGTGCGCTCTGTCATGCAAACAGAGCACAAACGCAGCCTCTTCCAACAGACTGTATAGCACCAAATCAGCTCCTGTTAGAAGCTACCAAACTCTTCCACGTGTTCCCTATTAAAATACAGTTACATGACGTGTTACACTACAAAGTATAGAAACACAGAAATGTAACATGCGGATAAAAAGGGGTACTAAATTTTGAGGTGTAACAATACAAGGAGCACTTTGTCCGCGCACTAACTCCCAAGACTTCTCTTCCGCTCACTTCCGTCAATAGAAGCAGCATGAGCGGGAGAGAAGTCTTTAGGAGTTAGTGCGCGGACGAAGCGCTCCTCGTATTATTACGCCTCACAATATAGTCCCCCTTTTTATCCGCTGAGAAAATCGACATGTTACATTTCTGTGTTACTATACTTTGTAGGGTAACACGTCACGTAACTGTTTTTAAATAGGGAACACGTGGAAGAGTTAGGTAGCTTCTAAAGGGAGCTGATTTGGTACTATACAGTCTGTGGAAGAGGCTGCGTTTGTGCTCCGTTTGCAAGACAGAGCGCACGAACAAAGACCAGTGGTTGCGGGTTAGCAGGGCATTTATGATGGGGGTCGCGGGCTAAAAACTTTGGGAACCCCTGTCCTAGACAACTCACTCAATTTTTTGAGGGATTTATTTGCAGGAGCCATCTTAATCTTATTTGCAAGAAACGCTTTTGGAGATTCAGTCTAGTTGCATGATTAAAGTCATGCTGTGGAAATCATGCCCTATTTGCTTTTTGTATACCAGGGGGTTACAGTCCTACGGCAACCATTGAAAAAACCCACTTTTGGAGGTGCCAATACAATTTCTTTGTTTCGCTCGGTGAAGACATTATTTAAATTGCTCAATAGTTTGCAAAGCTATTTCACATCTTGCTTATTGATTGTTTTCCTTTCTACTTACATCATATCGGCTACATGATGTGTTTGATGTGAAGGGACTTTCATATTTATTGTCGATGTGTTCAACTCACTTTTCCTGAGGGCCAAATTTTCAAAGGGCCACAGCCTCTGGGCCAGAAAAGTAGACTTTGCACCACCAATTTAAACCGGTTTATATTTATGTAGAAAGGCTCGCAATTATTGCTCTGCCAAACAAATTCTGAACCTTGTTTTAGTATCAACCCAAATTAAACTATGACAAACCAATAATTCCACGAATAGATTATGCTACTAAACAGTAAAAGATAATATATTTATCCTGAATGAAATGAAACATGGGAATAGACATGATACTTGACTGACTTTCTTGCTTCATCAGACAAGCAACCAATGTTGACAAATATGCTCAACATCTACTAAAATCTTTCTAAATATTTTTTCCTATTACCCACTTCCGGCACCACGAGTCTAGTATCTCTCTCCGGACTCTCTAAGCAACCTCAATCGCTTTGTTCTCCTCCTTTCTTATTATAAAGTCTCACAAGCTTTTTTCCCCCTTTCAGCTCTCCCTTTCCATCTCATCTCCCCTTCAGCTCCATCCCGCGGGGCACGAGAGGTGTGTTAGCTTGCGCTGTCGGAGATTCTTCAGATATTAGCCTTCTGTGTTGCTACTAACCCTGGGTGCTTTGCGTAACACCTCCCCGGAGCCAAACACGCTCACTCTTATCGGAGCATATTCAAAAGACCATTAGGCACGTCACATTGCTTCCAGTCGGTGAAGCCAGATTTCCTGCGGTGAACGTGTGTTGTAAATGCGTCAGAGTGTGTTTCGGGGCCCGGGATCCTGCCTGTGTTGGGCATATGGTAACCCTGGGATACAGACGGCAGATAAAAATTGTGTCTGCGGCCAACTCCTTGACGTCACACCCAGTCCCGCCCCGCGATGTCCTTCCCTCTTGTCCCGTCCCAGGTTGTCCCATGTATCGATCTGCACGCACATACAAAGATTGTTCAGAGATCGGCCCAAGGGTCATATATGAAAACTATCTACTATTGATGTCAACTCACTCATGCCTGCAATATTCCCTACATGAATATCATTGAAGTTGTTAACAATTCCATTTAAATCGCTTTCTGATCATCTTTTTCTGTGAAGTCAACCTACCGGTGACGTCGTTGTTTATATTATTTCTGCACCGGTCACATGACCGGGTGGCAAAATAGCATTGAAAGCTACCAGAATGCTAGAGAGTTAACTAGTTTTAGACGTTTGGAGAGAGGTTTTACTAAATCAAATGGTCCATTCTTGTTGTGTGGTCGGTTGTACGGCCCGCTGGGGCCAAATTGAGTTTTTTTTCCGAATTCCTACGGAAAAGAACAGCAACAAACAGCCGCGGTAAAGTGATCCGTACAATAAAAGCGGCTTTCCCTTTTATGCTGTTACCTACGGTAAACGTAGAAAGGGAATACGGGGGGTTAAAAATTAATAAAACATTTTAAGTTTTGCAACTACATTCACTGCTAGGGTTGCCAACTTGAGAACAAAAAAATAAGGGACACCATTTGGGTGGATCGGGTTGAGCACTTTTTAGTCCTATTTTCAGTCTACACAGTAATCATGGAATTTCATAATCACAGTTTTTAGATTGTAATTTATTGACTACATATAAAAAAAAAAATCCTTAGTCAAAAATGAAATTGAATAAATAGGTGGAACTCTTTGGCTGGTTAAGGACTAAATGCATTCTTATTAGTAATAAAAAAATATAAAAAATTTACTAAAAAATACTGTAACATACATTATTTATGAATGTTACAGTAAAGACCCATTTCTGTAAAAGCAGATAAAAAAAGAAAAACATATGTATTCATTAAAAAAACTGACAAATCAAAGTCTGTAGCAGTTTGATATGGTCATCATTATTTATATTGTCTGAGAGTTTTGTGCAAGTACTGCAGGTTTGTGGATTCAGTAAAAGCTATTGTTCGTTTACAAAGCTGGTCTGGATATTTGTTGACGCTCCCTAAGCACTTTTCTCGGCACCAGCAGTGCATATGATTCAGAGGATTTCTCTGCATTAAAACAGCGCATTGAATTTGTAAAATCAACGTAGAGATTATCATTTTAGCAAAATTACTTTTGTTTAACAAAGTAGCTTTTGTGAGCTATTGACCGCGGAAGTCCGAATCTGGGAAAATGACGCTACTTTACCAAACTTCTGCCGTGATGGTGCTGCGGGCACGGCCCACACTGGCGATTGTCAACATGAAATCAACGTCTGTGATCAAGCCTACGCCCCTTTGACACTGATTGGCCGAAAGGTAGATGCTTAAACTGTGATCATTACTGTGTGTGTGTGTGTGTGTGTGTGTGTGTGTCGCGCATGTGACATGCAGTGAGTGAGTGATGCATTTAAGGTGGCTCTAAAAATACGGGACAAAAGCCGTCCCGTATCGGTTTAATATGGGACGCACATAGTTTTTCTATAATACGGGACAATTCCGTATTTCAAGGGACGGTTGGCAACCCTATTCACGGCACACTTGTTTGCTGTGATGATACATTTTAAACATTGCATTTTGGTTGCTCATCCCTGTGGCCATGTTTACTGTAAGTAACAGCATAAAGGGGCGGACCACTTTACCGCGGACGGCGAAAAGCCAGGCCACTTTATCACGGTGAAAAACATGAGAAATGGTTTTTCACCCCGGACCTTTCTTGCGCGGAGAGTCCCAGGTTTTCTATGAAGTAAGAATAAACATCTCGCAACCGATCGGTGCCAAGACGAGTCTGACCAATGTTTGCCATCATCCCCAGGTCGGGCTTTGATTTTGTTCAGATCGGTCTCATATACTTATTTTTAGCTTGTCTTTATATGTCCTCTGATCTTCTTGCGTTAAAGTGCTTATATGCAGTGCATTTCGCCCACTGAGTCTTTTAAAACTACTCGTCGCATCCATGCTTCAGTATGTGCCGCTCTGTCTTGCCACTCGGCGAGTAGCGCGAGCGTGTGTAAACAAAGATCCTCCTATGAGCGGAGCAGCAATCCCCTGCTTTGTATGAGGCCCTCTTGGCGAGGGGGCAGGGTTGGTCCTGATCATGTGGGCCAAAAAATGGAAATCCAGACAAAACAGAATCCAGTTCAAACAGCACAAAACTTACAGGGGACAGGGAGTGAAGTAATAGACAGGGTTTACATATTTGGGAAAGTGAACTTTTTAACAAGTACTTTTAACTGCATTTATTTGTGTGGTGTGTTTTGGTGTGTTTTTATGTTTTTATTGCATGGATTTTAAGCACTGTTCCTTGGACACTTCCCCTAAATACCCACACAGGCCCGGCCGCGGGGACGGGCGACCCTGAGGCGGTGGGCAGGAGCGGCTCAGCCTGGAGGACCCTGAGGATACCTGATTCCGACGCGTGGAGCCTGGCACCCAGTGCGAGAAGCGTGGCCCCCTCCCAGTGCGTAGAAGCCACGAGCGGACCCCCGGAGGAGACGAAGCGTGGACCCTGGGAAGCCCGGCGTGACCCCGGGAGGCAGGTCCAACACCAGGGAACCCAGTGGACAATCTAGGCCTTTTTAATAGTGACTTTTAACTCCTTTTTACAAACGTTTTTATTATTTTAATCTGCTTTTATTAAAACACCTATTTAATCTTTTAACTCTGCCTTTTTATTGGTCACACCCCCTCAGTAACACTTTTTAACCTGTAACACATACAAGACTAATGAGACACAGGTGATACACATGGGCAGGGCAGTTTATCACACAACAGGGAGTTGAACTGAGGAAGACTCAAGTTACAAAATAAAACTGCAAATAAACCTAAACCATGGCAGCTTGAACCCGGGATCATGGCTGCTGGCTCTCTGCATGTTAAAGGGGACATATCATGAAAAATCCACTTTTTGTGCCTTAAATGTTGTGTAGTTGGAGCCTCTAGAAGTGCAAAAAAGTTGAAATCAGTCTCTGCATGGGTTGCAGAGAACACTTCATATTCTGTTTAGGTAAGATTTTTCAACCCGTTCTGATTTTGCCATTCTCTATTACGTGTTTAGAATTATTACGTCACAGTATTTGCAGCGAGACTGCTATATAAGGGCATGGGAGTCTAACAAAACACTTCGGCCCAGCCCTCCTCTACTGTGCATCACTTAATTTGTAGTCCAAGCTCAAGGATGCCAGCGAACAGGGCTGGACTGGCCATCGGGCGTACCGGGCAATGCCCAAAGGGCTGATGCCCATATTTGGGCCGGTCTGTCTGCCTCATATAAAACACATGTTTATGAGAAGTGTAATTCCGTTGAGAATTGTTCGAGCGGGGCGCGCGTATCCGCGGGGCACCTCCTGTATGTACTCAAACGGGATTCCGCCACCTCAGCGGCCGCAGTGTTCCGGGGCATCTGCGGCCGCTTTGTAATGAGCAGCTTCCGCGTCCAGCGGCGGCGAGAGGCTGTGAGCGTCCAGCCGCTCGCAGCCGCTCCACCGTGTTGTGGCTGAGCGCACAGCCTCAACGTGGCCATGTACCCAACCGCATAAACGCGCACAGGACCATGCGTGTCTTTGAGTAATCTGTGCACCCAATAAATACACTGCTGCAGGAAACAGTCCGCGTCTCCCCTCTCCTCTCGAAGCGCGAATAAACGCCCTAAATAAAGCTCTGATACCTACATTTTGCATTGCATTAAAAGTTCATGTTTGAGCCCAAAAGTAATATGTTGTGAACAAATTAAACAGATTTAGAGCCAGCAAATGGCTGACAATATGCATTTCAGTCTTTTTTGACCAATTCTCATCCCTGTAACAAACAATAGTGTTGTCTGTGTCCACCTCCCTCACTCTGAGACATGTTTATTACTCTCTTGTAATGTAGACTATTGCATTTTATTTTATTGTTGAAACTGCACATATCCTGATCCTCTACAGTATTTGCTTCCACATACTGTATAAACCAGGAGTCGGCAACCTGCTGCTCCGGAGGCGCATGCGTCTCTTTCCTTCTGTAGAAGGAAAAACATTCTTAACGTTTTTAAATGCTGTAAAATTGTGCATAAGTAATTTTCAATTAAAAAATTTCTGTCAACCTGTCTGTCAAACCGGCGTGTGAGCATCATAGACTGTGCGCATGGATCCCAAAGCTAAAAAGAGAAGAGTCGAGAATAAGACTGGACTAAGAATGAAAATTAACATTTGCTTTCAGTCAATGAAGAAGGACTGCTTCATGTTTGCGATGTAATGAGAAGTTTCTATGAGATAATTGTATCTGTGCTTAGAAACTACAAAAATGGCTGCTCGGGGTGGACTGGAACCTGTGTCACCTGGATGGGGGCGTGGTCAAAAGCGCCTCATTTGCATTTAAAGAGACAGCACCAAAACAGGTTGCTCTCAGACGCACCTCAGAACAGGTGTAGAAGAAAGGCCCGTGGAGCTACAAATAATGAGACTCAGACCCAGGCATTGCAGTTACGCTTTATATAGGCCACAAATTAATGATTTAGATGTAAAAATCAATTATTTGAAAACACGATATGTCCACTTTAATCTAAATTTCAGAACATTCTGACTGTCTTAAAACAAGATTTGCCAATGGGACATGCAAAATGATTTTTTAAAAGATACAAGAAATGTCTCCCTAGGAATGTCAGTTCCTGAAATAAGACAATGGCTTGTCCCATTGTCAAATCTTGTTTTAAGATTAAGATAAAAACCACCCAATTCAAGCATTTTTTTTTTTTTTTTTGCAGTGTACCCCAAGGATTATTGCATTGGATTTAACTTAAATACAGACACCATGCCCCAGGGCACTATCCCTGTGGGAGCAAGACTCTGCACGCACCGGGTCGCTGCTATCCCTGTGCGCACCAGGTAAGCCTGAAAATATTGCCTTATTATTTTCATGAGCGCCCTCCTTATTTCATGCTTATAACGGCTAGTTTTAAAAAATATATTTGCTATAACAGGGGTGCTATACGTTGAGCGCAATCTACTGGTGACATTTCATAATCATGCATGAAATTCACCAACATTATCCCATTAAAGTGAACTGTTGTTCATCAACATTTCTCCAAAATTTGCAATCGCAAGTTGCTATTTTTTACCCCCTGAAAAACGTACTTTCCGAGCAACAAAGTAATATTTGGATCAGATATAAATTTACAAATAAACTAAACAAATGTTTACAGATAAAAGGAAACCATTTTGTCAACAAGTGCTCTTCTTGGCTGAAGGAACTACCCTGAAGTTTTATTAATGCCAAAGTGCTAATATTTAGTCAACAGATGTCAATTCACTATATACTGCACAACAAATTATAGTAATGTAAGTGCATTTAAATAAACATGTATTTTTGTGTGTAAAAAAATAAAAAATGACAATGCACACCACTGAATAGTCAGAAGTTTACCCCCGCTCTCAAGAAGCAACGCTGGGTAAGTGTTGGAGCTTTGCTCTGTCTTTGATGATATTGTAGTCAGATGCAGAGGCAGCTTGTGTCACCTGTTTCCACCCAGACCACACACACGGACGGACCGTCCTCCAACCTGGCGCCGGCCATCCGCAGCAACAATAAGGGCCAAAACTGCTGCATACTACTTATTTGTTACTGTAAAGTTGCGAAAAAGTTTCTGAGTCGCATTGATATTGGGTTAAAAGTTGCGATCGCAGGATCACAGAATTATTTTATGGTATGACGTAAAAGTGCATTCACAAACACTGATTTTAGCCATGAAGACCTTAAGCACAGCATGCTGTATTTTGAACATGCATATGTAAGAATGGCAAATGTCTGAGTACTCAAGCCTTGAAAGCAAGACAATTGGTCTACAGACGTTTTCCAACATGGCTGAGTAATCTAATGAAGAGGGCAAATCAGCTCATAAAAAGTCAATTTTGCATAAAACGTCCCCGTTAAGATACAGCCTTTGCCATTTCTCTTAGGTTCACATTTGAGATTCATTATGCATCTACATTCATTTACAAAGATGTGGTTTTTACCCTGTCACAAGTCGCTTTCACAATCTTCTTATGAAAGTTACCTTGACATTTATAACACTGCAAATTCCATAATATCTCCTAGGACGAGAAAAGCAATCCATTTTCTTTTCTTGCATTGCAATTGTAGAAAAACCTTGAAATCTAAGGAAGAGACAAGTTATTGTGGAAGGAGTTTAATCAATCCCAGCTTAAAAAATAAATAAGAACACTGTACCAAAATGGGAATTAAAGGTTGTCCTTTGATGTGTTCTATATTTTAAAATGATGTCGCTGATGTTTTCTATTGTATAATGCAAAAGTGCTAAAATGATAAAAGTAAACTCACACTGAGTTTTGGCTCAAACCATAGATCTTTTATTCGTCCCACAGAGGGGAAATTTCTTTTTTCGCTAATTCATCGGAATAATAGCTCTGGAGTATTTCCGTTATGTATTTGAGGTAATAAATTCCCAGTATATATTGTTTGGCCCCAAAATAAATGTAAAAAAGTAAGAACGGCAAACATGAGTCTTACGGTGCATCTCTGTTTAAATCTACCCATTCTTGCAAAGAAAACATACGCACACTGAATCTTTATTGAATCACAAATCAATGCTAATTATTATGGCTTGGCACTGCTTTTAAAATGTCTGAAGCTATTGATATATTTTTCTCAGTTGTGTGAGTTTGGTTTAGTGCTGTCTTTTTTTATCTTGTGCTGTCTGCTCCTCATTCCTACTGTTCTGTAACTGGTGATGCAACACTGACATTTCCCCACTGTGTGACAAATACTCTTAATCTTAGACCTGGATTGACCTGAATTTCTCCTACAGGGGATCAATAAAGTATCTATAGTCACGTTTCCACCGCAGGAGTTCCTGGTAAAATGAGGGGTGTGGGACAGCTACAGGAACCGTCCCCTCATTCGGCCTTTCAGTGGCCGTGTCTCCACTGCAGAGTAGGACCCATCGGCAACGTCATGAGCTATGATCACCGCGTAATCAATAATTATTCATTTTACGATGGGAACCGCTCCGCTTGTGGTGTTTTGAGTTCTTTATAGTCCTGCTTAAGTTTTATGTAACTTTTCACGGCATTGTTTGTGAGTGTGATGAATCCCCATTGCTTCGCGGTGCGCTGATGTATCTTTTCATTTCGTCGCGATGCCTCAAACCCCGTCTGAATTTCTTCGGTGCTGTAGAAGCCAATTGTCTTCACCTCATCATCCGTCCATTTAGCGTACATCTTGCTGTTATTTGCTGTTTCCAGTGTTGTCTGCTAGGCAAAAAATTTTGGATTTTAAGAATGTCGGTTGTTTTGCTGCTTTCTACTGGCGTCAAAGCCTGCTCTAGCTTTATACAATCAGCGCCGGGTTGACCTCAAGCCCCACCCAGGAGCTGTTCAGGGCCGAAAGGAGCACCTAGCATGGAGGAGGTACTCCGTTGGTTCCTGTAAAAGGCCCTGTGGGGGAGGTTCCTGCAATAGATAGATCTATCTATCTATTCATCTATCTATCTACCCCGCTCCCATCTCTGTGTGGAGTGAGAGGACAAGTGCCCAAAAAAATAACAATTGTAAACCGCTTTGTGATTCTGGTCTGT